ATATTGATGTTGTCGTCGTTGTTGTCGTCGTTGTCGTCGTCGTCGTCGTTGTTGTTGTTGTTGTTGTTGTTGTTGTTGTTGTTGTTGTTGTTGTTGTTGTTGTTGGGTTTGATTTGTATAGTGATATTTGGATCCCAAACAAATTGATCATTAAGTGAATAAACAATATTCTCACTTTCCTTCATAACTTCGGCTATTATCGAATCAAACTCTGATCTTATTGTTTCTATTTCTTTACTACCATTACTACTAATTGTAGACGATGACGGTGGCGGTGGTGACAAATTTGACGACAATAATAATGGCGGTGGCGGTGATAAAGTTGACGATAACGATGGTGGTGATGAAGATGATGGAGGTGACAAATCATTGCAATTCATATATTTTTCAATAATCATATCATCTGATTCTGAAGATAAATCATTACCGTTTCCAGTAATTATATTGCCTGCTGCGTATAGTTGTAAATATCTGTCGTTACTTTTAGGTGGTAAAAATGATGATGTTTGGTATAGTTGTGATTCAACGCCGCCACCACATGAACCAAACAAATTATTGAAATTACTATCAAGAAATGTTGATGCCGTTGTTGTTAATGCATTTTGCAATAATTCACACTTTTCTGTCATGATAATATTTGGATTTGCAATATTTGAATTTGTATTCATAACGTCTGCAATTGTATTTGTATTATTACATAGATCGGACAGTAATGCAATAATAGAAATAATGAAAATTTTATTTTTGCATACTTGACATTCTGATTTCTTCCAATTGCCATTCCTGGTTTCCATCCCATATTTTTTAGCATATTAAGCCCATATTCTTCTACGTTAATGCTTTCATAATCAATTTCTTTCTATGAATGTGAAATATTTATATTATTATGATTATTAAATGCATATAAAATATATGTGTATATATATATTCTTACCTCATCAGGACAACTTTGAATTTGATTTTTAAAAGTTTCCAAAGCAGAAACTTGTTCTTTATTACTTTCTAATTGATATTGATGATGACCAGTATTAGTGATTCTGTCTCTTAAATATCCAATTGAAAGTTCTTCTTTTAATCTGTCAAGTTGATTTGATTTGTCTGATGATGTTGTTGTTGTCTTTGTAACGATTAATCCGAATTTAATAATATCGCCACTAGCTATTAATCCATCATCACCATTACCATCGTCAATAGACATCTTATCATTATTTGATGAATGTTTGCTCCTTCTTGATATTTTTTTTTCTCTTTTAGAATCAGAACTAAAAATGATAAAAATATTAACCTTGGATAAATCTCTAGAATTTTTAATATATCGAAATCGCCAAATAAGAAAAAATAATATAATATGTACATACGATCGTGACCTATCATCTTCAAAATCTGTTATTGGTGTAATTTTTTCTTTCAAGTCTTCATCTTCGCTTATTTTTCTTTTTTTAGATGTTGTTGCATCAGTTGAAAAAGCGGATAATGTTTTCTTTTGGAAAGTTTTATTTTTATTTGACTGAAAAGACATTGAGAATCCACTACCACCACTTCCACCACCACTTCCATTACTACTGCTGCTACTTGATCCTATTTTTTTCGATTTATCTTGTTGCATTTTTATTTTATTATTATTATTATTTAAATTTGCATATCAAGTTCGTGTTACCACTATCATATTAATATCCGTTGTTTTCGTTGTTATTATTATACCGAAATTAGCCAATCATCAAGAGAAAAAATCTGTAATGTCCCCTTTTTGTGAAGAAACCAATTACTTCAAATTATTGAATTATCAGATAATAATAATGATGAAATAACTGATGATGATGAATTTGGAGATACATAGCAAACTGAAACCAAAAAAAAAAAGATTGAAAAACCATTAATAAACATTGGTTTAGAATTTATTTATGGTTAGATACTGAAGATAAGTAAACTTTATAAAAGTAGAAATATTTGCAGTGGGTATAAAAAGTTTAAAATTAAAAAGAATGCAAAAAAAATAAAACTAATGACAGAATGAATTGACATAGAAGAACATTCAGACAAAGAAAAATTGG